TGAAAGAGGTGAAACACTTCAAAATTACGCTTATCCGCAATCAGAACTCTGGGAAAACCACTGGAAAGATCCACTTTGCTCTACTTATATGCTTGAACTCCGTAGTTTTTCGCACAATTACTTTCTATGGTGTACTACTAAATACTATTCTCAGGGTATTATACAGAGGGGGGGGCCTATACTCTGAAATATTCTGCAAGAATTGTTAGCCGGGTAACTTAAGCCTTAGAACCGGGCTGTCGCAGAGAAAGTGCTCAGCTGCCTCCTTTGAGCTCGGTTCCTTGCAGCTGCAGCAGAATTTGTTGATATTTGTATAGCCACACCTCTGTTTCAATCTATGGCGTATTTGGTCTGACAATGGGCTCGTATCCATTTTCCTCGTAGGAGGCAAATGAGGTCATAATAAATATTATTTCGCATATTCAGGCAGCGTTAAAAGCCTTGAGACTCTTTTAAAACGGCATCAAGGCTTGTGAACTCGTGAATCAACTGATAGCTCACAATAGCGTAACGTTGTGGTGAGTTCCGGGATATGAAGTGTTTTAAGGCAACGAAAGGGCTGACTATCTCGCAAAGCATGGAGACCAAATGCGCTTGCATAGTCCGGAGCTATTCTGTGGTACAGCTAAAGGATACTCTGCAGATCTACTTAGGATCTAGCTGGGAATAATCTCAGATTGCTTGCGGTAGTCGAAGGGAATGAGACAATCAAAGAGATTTATAGCTCCTTCCAGGAGGACACTCTGAACTTGGAACTCTTACTGGCTACCTGACAGCACACTGCACGTCAACGTATCATTTGAATTAAATGGGTCTTTCTGTAGAGATGGACTGTAGGTTTTGTGGACCCCAGAGTATATTCTATGTGCCTACCCACGAAGCATGAATCGTAGTTTGATATACCTTGGAGAACGATTGTCTTCTCCATCCAAAATTTGAAACATGGAATCATCCAAAGTGATGAGCTCTTTAAATAGCCTATGGTTGGAGTGATTACAGTTAGGATTTAGCACAATATATATTCTTAGGTCGCAGCGCGAGTATCTCCGACTTAATAATAACAATAATAATATCGTTACTAGACACGAATGAAGGCGCTCGGATATTTTCACGGCGAAACAGGACGCGTGAAAAATTTTACGAAAAAATACGCTTGAAAAAATTTCGGCGAAGAAAGGCGCATAAACATGGATTCAACATCAATTCGGAAAAACTCTTTGGGGAATTCGTATACTGTTATACTCGCAAGCATAGTTGACCGCAAAAATAAGTTTATGCGTCTTTCTTCGCCGTCAAAGAGGTTAACGCGTCTTTCTTTGCCGAAATTTTTTTAACGCGTCCTTTTCGCTGTCAACTTTTGAGCTCCCATTTTTATACATATCTAGTGCTGATGTGAATGAATTGTTATACGCAGTTAATTTGTTTTTATTGTATTAGCTTTGTTTTAGTTTCACTAAATGTTATGTTATCTCTGTTCCTAAATACAAACGTAAATTTGACATTGAAAAAATATTAAAAGCTCAAAAAAATGTTTGGTAGGTTTTGGTTGGTTATGGTAGGAAATTTTGGTACGAAAAAAATACGACTGTGTAATTTTTAGCTGATCACAAATTGCGACCAACTCTCTCCTATGGTCCTCCAATAGTTTGCGAACTAGTTAAGGAAGAGAAGATTGCCGTGCTATCTGAGAAAATGTTGAGCTGCGCTCTGGCGGGTGCATGGTGTTTTATGAGCGTTTCCGTTAGAAAAACTCTTGTGTGATTCTACGACCGTCCGTAAAGACTATGCCCTTCTAGTTCCGAAGTTCTGAGTCTCCCTTTTTTTAGTTGTTCGCGGTCTTTGGCCGATATATTCGGGAGGCATTGCTCTTGTATAATACTGGAGTCAGTATATGGTTGCGTTTGGTAGAAGCTGAATTTTCAATGAAACGTTTTATCGGTAATAAATCTAGCAGTAGAGTTCGACTACAACCGTTGCACCAGCATCATCTGACTTCTGAAGTCAAAAAGTTTTCTTTTTTACAACGTTATCCTTAGTCAGTGCTGGCCGCTAGATCAGCGCTTCATATGGAAGTACGGGTGGATCCCTTAACATCAAGTTCACAATCCTTGGCTTCAATCTCTGTCTATTGCCTAGAACAATTTTGGCTGCAATGTTCGACCTCTGATAAAGCTTGGGGGGTCCAGAATAGCTCAAAGATATTTCACCCTGTGAGGGAGGTCCAGTTCTGTAGCTACAAATGTAGGTTTAGTAAAATTTGGCTTTCTCCGTATTCTCAATAAGAAAACAATTTTGGCACTGAACTCTACTTTCTTTAGAGAGCCCTCCATAATTTCGCTTATAATCGAAAGAAGTTGACCCTAAACAACTATGGCAACATCGTCGACACCACCTCGGTTCCAGGGGAAAATAGGTTTATCAACAGTCCCGGCATAGTAGTTCCCACTGCATTTATGTAGAGAATTTCTTTCTCTAAAATGTAGTGTTTTTTTTTATCTTTTTGATTCGTGCATTTGATTAGACACAGTCAGAGTTCTTGCCGTTGAGTTGGACAAAATTTGATCGATCACAACGCGTTTTTTGCAAATCAAATTTTATTTTAAAAATTTTATAATTCTTTAGAAAATTTATAAAAATACGTTTTTGGCAATTATTTCGATTCTATATTCTAAAAATGTTTCGAAAATTAAAATTTTAAAGAAAAAATGGTCTGAATAGGCACACTTTCACAAAATAATGGGCATTTAAAAAAAGAAAGTTTTTTTCAAAAATCTATATCTCGGAAACAGCTGTATAAAAAAGTAAAAAAAACAGGGTACTATAAGATAAAAAATTATAGAAAAAACCTAGAAGCAAGAGCCAAATGGTGTCCGAATTGGGATGGTAGGCTCCATATATAAATTAACCTTTCTGTTATGTAATATTTATGTATTTATCTGCATAACAATTAATCGTTTAGCATACTTATGTATATGTATGTATATAAATATGTACGCCCACACGAATGTTTGCTATGCGTATGTATGTATTAAGTTATTTATTATAGTAGTTACGGTGGGGGAGTATCGCTCGAAAATTGCTGTTAATTATGTCTGTCAGGTATTCGCAGTTATGAATAATAGCGTATGTAACTAAGTAAATATGTATGTATGTAGGTAAGCGTGCAAATGTTTGCATATTTACTATCTATGGCTGCCATTTATCAAACGCCAGCAAAATCTACGCATACACAATAAAATATTCTTATGCAGATATTTATATACTTACATACATACGTATGCATTTATATATGTATGTATGCACTTGCCGAACTGCAGCGGTGTTTGTGCTGCACCATTCAAGCGTTGGCAATTAAAGTTGCAATTTAAATTTCGCAATAATTGCAGTCATAATTTGGAACTCAAACGTTGGCGCATGAAAATTTTGCGGTTTCATAAGGCATTTTAAATAAATATTTGAGTGAAAATATTTTAAACATTTTCTTTGTGTTCCAATGACGTTGGCATGTGAGATGAGGTGAGAGCTTTAACGGAATTGTGTACATATCTGAAGAGCAAATAATATAAAATTTCTCATGAGAATAAAAAAAGATTTGCAATTTTTTATGCATATTTAAGGTATAAACATACATTTGTATAAAAATTTTGCTAAAAATCCGTTTTATCTCCAAAATTATACCAAATTTGATTTTTCTAAATATTTTTATTCAGACTACATACAAATTATTGACTAGTACAGTGAAGTTGTCATTTAATGTAAATATAATTTGACACATGTGATTTTGTTCGATAGCAGTGACCAATATAATATTTAGTATCCTTGTGTTGAAAAATGCTGCGCCGACGGCTATGGTGTTAGGAGACAACGATCGATCTTACAAGGCAATTATCGTTAAGATAGTATGAAGCCTTTTGTGGGACAATATATTTTTTAAATAATTTGTTTTTAATTCTTAAATTTTATTTTCCTAGCGAAAAATCTTACAAGGCAATTATCGTTAAGATAGTATAAAGCCTTTTGAAGGACCATATTTTTTTAAAATAATTTTATTTTAATTCTTAAATTTGATTGTTCTAGCCAAAAATTTTGCAAGGCCATTATGGTTACGATATTGGAAAGGCTTTTTAAATTTAATTTAAATTTTAGAAACATATTTATTATTTTTTTCATAAAATTTGTTGATTTTATTGTTTAAAAAAAATATATATTTTTTATTTAAGTTAATTTTTAGAAGCTAGATAAAAGTTGTTTTTTTATATTTTTTCTTTTATCAATTTAAACTTTTTATAGTTTTAAGATTTCATTGTTTTATAAGTAAAAAGAAGTTTTTTATTTCATTGAAGTTTTGGGAACTTATTTTATTCTTTAATTTAATTTTCTTTTGATTTTAAGATTTTTACGAACTTATTAAATTTTTCTCTTGTTTATTATTTTTTCTTTTATAAATTTAATTTTCCTTTAATTTTTAAATGTTATTGTTTTAAAATGAAGCACTTCATAACCATTCATTTCGATAATGGATTTTGATCGTGAAAATTATTCAATCAGCACTCGAAATCCTCGACTTGATTTCCTGGCGTTTTTCGAAGTGCTAGGACCCTTTAAGCCTTTAAGGGGAATATCCCTTATGCAGTGTTAAAAAAAAACTAAGTACTGAGATGTCTTACCAGTACACATATATATGTAATTTCTTGATACTAAATTTCGTCTAGAGATTTTTTTGCGAAGCTCTCCGTCGTTCTTTTTGTCGTTCGACGCTTAAGTGGAACTGGATTTTTTGACGTCAATAACTTCTACAGCATTAAGTGTTATATGTAGTCGTCTTATCATGCTGAGACGATATAAACTGTACTGTTGTTTTATAGGCACAGCTTCTGTAAACCGAACTGAAACCGTATTTTACTTAAGCGTACTAAAAATATAGATATATATATATATTTTTTGCAAAAGTTTCTAATCAATCATTTCAACTTTTCACTTTTTCACTTTCATACATGCAGACTCAAGTGGACAGCAGCTGCTCTGCCTTCGCCCACGCAACAGTTTGATCATCACACCGATCAACTGCAGCAAAACTGTCGATACACGAGCACAGTGCCGCCGAACACAGCGCAAACATACGACGCCGTCATGTATGAAAATTCATGTTCATATCAAACGGCGCTCGATCTAAAGCGTGTCTCACCGCCCACGCTGGCGCAAGTGAAGACCGAAGATTGCCTAACGCTCGGACAATGCTCGCCCGATTGGTCCACATATCGCTTCCATCAGTCCACATTCGAACAGTTGAAGCAAAGCGTAGAGAAAGCGAAAGCAGCGTTGCAGGATCGAAGTGGTTTCTTTGGGGCATCGAGTGCATTCAGGTGGGCAAACATGAGTACCTAGTTGCAAATTTACAAAATTATTTAAATATATTTTTTCTGCGTCTCTCTCTCTCTACCCGTCCCATTAGCGACATCTACTCGACGCAACGACTAAGCGACACGCTCGGCGATACGCTGCCCAATGTACAATCGACGAATGGCGGCAACTGTATTGGCATCGTACACAACAGCAGCGGTTTGGGCTGTAATACGGTGGCGAGCACGCCGAGTCTGGTGCTGAATGGCAATTGCATAACCACCGTTTCATCGGCCACAACGGGGCAGCGTTATCGCTTGGATAGCCTACAGCCAGTGACCGGTTGCTCGCCCGTCTCCCAGCATGGTCTCATCAGCACAAGCAGCGCGCCGCCACCGCTGACGTCAGGCGCGCTGGATGCGAACAGTGTGGTGGTGGAGAGCAAGTCGAGAGGTGAGTGCAAGGAAGTTTTTCTATTTTTACAAAAAAAAAAAAAATTAAATAAAAATGAGGGAATATTAATATTTTACCTACCTACATAAATACCGGAAGTGCATTTCCTAAAAAATTTCGGAAAACATTTTACTTTGCTACATATTTAATGTACAAGTAATATATACAATTCCGGCTCACAGCATATTTTAAGTTAAGAAAAAGGATGTCTGTAGTTACAAGCATTTGCAGGCTCATAATTTGCTAATTCAATTTTCACAAGTTTTGCTTGTAGCAGCTCACTTATTTTGCTTATTTTCAGATTTTTGTTATTTCTTAGTTTCTTTTTTTTTTTGTGCTCCAAAAGCAGGCTACTCGAAGGCCGAGCGTTCGTCGTCGTCGGTTGCCAAAATTGTAAAAACATCATTAAATTGCAATTTTTTGCCACATTTTTTGTGATGAATTTGCGCCAAACATGCAAGCCGCGAATAACACGGACATTTCACATTTCAGAATAACTACACCAGTCAACACAGACACACTTACATATGTACATACATTGAATTGCTACACTTTTGATGTGTCTATTTGTGGCGCTGACGTCGTTGCAACTAGGAATAGTCAAAAAAGTGTGCCTGCAACAAAATCACTTAACTCGTACGAGATACAAAAAGGCAGCTAGTAATACAAATTGCACAACAGTGATAAAGAGAGAAAAAAATGTATAAAAGAGTATGGGAAAGGATACTACCAGCCATAAGCTTAAACACTTAGGTATCTGCTTGCATACTTTTGTGCACCAAAAATACGCCGCACCACTTCCCCCCTCCCCCCCCGTTTGTAGCTATAATAAAATTGTGAAGCCTTCATTCAGCAATGTGTCCTCGCATACCTTATGGCCGGCCTGCCATATATAAGTCCCACTCCTTTTGGCCAACGACATCGCCAGCGGTCAGCGCTCTCGCTGCAATTTGATACACTTATCGCCGCTTAGTATGAGTTCGTGCTTATGTGGCTGAGTGCCGGGCGTGACAGTTCGCGGTTTACCACCTTCAATTGTTTTATCCGCCGAAATTTATTATTTTTCACAATATTTTGCCAGCTTGTTATAAATAAAATACCCGTATCCAAGTATGTAAATTGAATTGTGAATTTTTTCTGCTGGCAACTCGAATAGCGCGCTCATTTCTATTTGTACGCCACAACTTCATATATTAGGGTGCATGGCTATTCATAAAAAAAAAATCCTGTACTTTTTTCTATCGGAATTATAAAACTTATTATACTTTAAGACTTTTGCCAAAATATTTCAGAAAAATTTAAAATATCACCAAATTCCCATTACATATTTTGATTGCGCGGATACAAATTTTAAACATTTTTATGCAGACCTTTTAAACTTAAACTTTTCTATCAGCTGATGCAATTTTTCGTAAAACTTTTTTAAGAACTAGTTTTATTTATATAAAAAATCGATTTTTGGTGGTATTCACAAATCGGCACAGCTCACGTAAATGTTATCTAATATATAATATAATAAATTTTATAATTCCCGTGGAAAAACCACATCTTTTTTTTGGCGAGTCACCTTAATGTATACTTATATGTATCTACATATTACCGCCAACAGGTTTTTAGGGAAATCATAAGATTCAACGAGATTTAAGATTTTCTTTATTCCACTAGACAATTTTTAGTAGCAATAAACTTAACGAAATCGAAGAAATAAGAAGGGCGTGAAAATCTGGTCAATGGTAACTTTTCCCAGTTAGTCTATGATTTACTTAGTCTTTAATATCTACATATATAAAATCGCGATGGGACGCTATGCTCAGTATTCTGCTGTGATTGACGTAAATTGAAGGATCTTCCTTTTTATAACGATTAGTCTTAGTCGTGTGTAGGAATGTGAACCTCGTCCCAATACATGGGTCTAGTTTTTTCTTTCTCACAAACTCACCACTCGTGTCACCATTCAAAATCGTTGAGAAGCCTTTCCTTCATATCCCAAATGCACTCTGTACGTCTTTTAGCAGACTAGCCACATTCTAGTCTCCCGAATTTCAAGCTGTTCGCAGTCACGCCTTTCCGCCTCTTAAAATACGTATCTTTTTTTACTCCTCGTCATATCAGTTGTTTCTGCGTGGCTGGTAGTAATCAACAAAAAAATATAAAGTGATTGGGAGATAGAATTGAACTGTTCCTTTTTGTCCAGGCGACGATGAGTTGCTGGATTACGTAGGATCCCTTGTATCCCTTGTGACTACAGCTTTCCGACGTCCGAAAGTACTTTCGTCGTGCCGCCAAACGCACGTACTTTATCGCAGGGAGGCGCGTGCGTACCTAAGCTGCAACGAGTTAATGATCCAAGTCGATGTTGTCTCATGGAATGGAACGCTCGAAGCGTTTCTTTGGTCTACTATAACGTGATCAAATTGGTTCCTCATTCTTTGATCAGGGGGCACCAAAGTAGTTTTATGGATGTTACGGTACTGATGAATGGTACGATTTTTACATCGCAGCGCTCGTACGCTTCTTCCATACACTTATAGAAACGCTGCTTTGTCTCTTGGTCCTTCTTCTCCTTCGGAGCCTGCTGCTGTTGTTGAATTTAGCCTTAATGCGGATTGTTGCTGGAGCTTCCGCCCAACAACAAACTCATCACAAGATTTGAGTGCCGCGCCATTTCATGACGGCTATATACTATATGGCATACTCTGAAAATTGGTTTGCAGCGATGCCACGTCCAAGCGTCTCCTGCAATGCAGTCGTATGAGCCTTTTACTTATTTACCACATCCAGCGGATGGACAGAGGACCCTTTTCTAAGAGGGTCCGAACATTCCAGGGACACACGTCCTTGAATCGTAGTCTCTGCGTCATTTTAGGGATCGTAAAGATGTGGGGAAATAAATACTGAAGCTTGTTAAGTCTTTTAATTGGATGTTGTTTTTACGTGGCGGGTCGTAGTCCTAGCTCATAAATCGCGGTTGGTGTATGCAGCGGAACGTTTGCCCCAAGAAAGATGCCCGGTGCGACTGGTAACAGTCGCTGCTGACTTCAGTGAGTCCTTAAATCGAATGATTCGTAGTGGCCTCACCGAGGTTCCGTCTATTTCCACCGCGACCCATAGCTTCAAATCAGTGTTGATTTTGGAAAAAGTTACCGTACTTAAAATAGTACTTAAAAAAATTGCTATATTTTAATTAAAAAGAAATTCTCACCATTTCATAAGAACTGCCACTTTTTGAATCGGAACCGCATTGCTACTGGAGGATCATCCCTATGGATCTATATCAGAACAAATTGTAATGAAAAAAGGTGCAGCACCGCCTGAATTTCCGCTTTCGCAATCGATTGGAAATATGATTACTACTATTTTTTTTGGATTGATAATGCATAAGATTATCCAATAAAAAAAAAAAATAAGAAAGCGGCAATATTATGGAGGAGTATTTAGCGAAAAAAAAATAGAAACGTCAAATGCACTCGTTTGATGCACAAATATGATTTCGAATTAATAAACTACGTTCGGCACTTACATAAGTGTCTCTGTCTAATCTACAAGAAAGGCACCCGCACCATATGCGTCAACTATCGCGGGATCAGCCTCTTAAACGACGTGTATAAGGTCTTAATGAGTGTATTGTACGAAAGGCTAAAGTCTATCATAATCGAACAGATTGGGCCTTATCAGTGTGGCTAAATCCACCATAAATTAGGTATTAACCCTATGTCAAATCTTAGAAAATGTGTGCAACATAATCTCTATGCCACTTTAACAACCGCTTCTGCAGGATGAAAAAAAGATGCCTTTATGCCGCGATGTCTGACTTTGGTATTACCACGAAACCATGAACTGCGAAGTACTTCTCCGAGCCGGTTGATACCAAACAAGCTTTCAGATGAGGCGACTTCCTTTCGTGTGATTTCTGTAATATGATATTAGACTTACAGCCAGTTTCACCAAATTATTTAAGTGAAAATTACTTTAATTTCGGTTTCACCAATCAATTTTAATTTTGATTTAAGTGACCTATGCTCTGCACTTAAATAAAAGTTAAATCAGAATAACCACACTCAGAGGTGTTACACGTTTAATCACCTGATCATTGTGTAACTGCTGCTTACCTGTATACCAGCCCTGCTTTTACAACACAGCGTGCCAAAGCTTTCAAAAGCTCTCAGTACAAATGAAAGCGAAAGCTAGTCCTAGTCTGTTTTACAACCACTTTTTACTCACTTAAATAAATAGTTTATTGAAACTGAAAATTATTTAAATGAGAATTAAATACAAAATTTAATTAAAGTTAATTTCCACTTAAATAGTTTGGTGAAACTGGCTGTTAGAATTTTCATCTGTCTGTCTGGCTGTCTGTATGTTTGTATGCGCATCACTCGACAAATAATGCACGGAATCGAATGCTGATGTATTGCTTGAGCTTTAACTTAAAATATAGAGGAAAAATATGGGAGAGTTGCCACCTGTTTGAAAATTACAGTTTAGGTAAACTGATAAGATAAATTAGATATTGCAATATGGCTGTCAAAAGAAAAGAGCTTCAGAAAGCTCACAGATGAAAAAAAAATTAGTGGAAGGTTGCCACCTGTTTGAAAATTTTGATATAAAACTAAAGATTTTTAGTTGATTCTCGAAAATATTTTTGAAGCGGGTTGTCATCTACATCATATTATGTATTTGAAAAATTTTATTTAATTAAATTAATAAGATAAGGTAAATTTTGAATCAGACTCTAGTTATAAAAATTTAAACTAAATTTCCAGAAGCCGACATATTAACTAACACCCGCATTCATAAAAAATATGTAAAAAGTGCTTCATAAATCGATTTTTTTTTGAGAAAACTCACTTCATAGAGCTCTTTAAATATATATTTTATTTTTTATTTGTCTACTTGTGCAAATATAGTAACCACTGTACGTTAAAATAGCAAATATGTATATGTAATTATAAATAATATTTTTCTCATCGTTAAATCTAAAACAAAAGGTAAAGGAGTAG